ACAATATATAAATGCGGATCCCTTATTATCTACATCTTTGAATACTATTCCGAAGCTTACACACACAGCATGTATGCTGCTGATGATGGTGGATCCAATTCGACCTATGATATGTCTAAGATAGCCAAGCACTTAAAGCACTGAACTACAACAACATAAAACACAGTTAACAGGTAAAGGTACACACACTAGATTGCGAATACCGCATAAAACAGCTGAAGTTACCTAAGAGGAATGATATAAGAAGACAGTGGGTTAAAGTTGTGACCCAATTGATGGAAACTGATAATCTCGGTTAATAAATTGTCTTCATGATTATTCAAAAAAAAACCATTTTTCGTAATGATAATTAGATGCGCTCCGATGTAGCCATGTCCACTGTAATATTCCGGATACATCCATATTCCCAAGATACATGTAACATTAGTGTATACATAATTGGATAATTAACACTTCCCTGTTCCAAATTCACAACCATAGACAAGATCGACAGGAGTTCTTTAATTGACAGTCGATGAGACAGTCCTTTTACATGAAAATACTGGCGAAATGTACCCTTCTCAACACTGAACAGCAATCATACAATTGTCATCGTTAAAATGCGATTCGTTTGTGTCGATAACTTATTTCACAACGCGGATCCAATTTAATGAGCACACTGACTGCTACTTCAATTATAAGTAAAGTCAAATACACTAAGGTGAGTTGGTGGTGGACGTAGTATTGCCAGAGAAACGAAAGACTCGATAAGCGTTTGTCAACACATGCAATCGGAATGATTAAACACCGATGTCATGTACAGAACAAATTATACCACTATCAAAATCAAAGGATGAGAAGCAAATGGTCATCATCAATATTTACATAGGAAAACGCATCACTCCGTAACAGTCTAATTTGTCACACTTCATATCAGCTCATAAGCAAAAATGCACTAACGTGAAGGATAAAGAATCGGTCAAAAAGAGTCGAAAATGGTAAAAGAGAAGGAGGAGGATAAGAAAATACTGAATTCAACACAAAGATTGAGATGACGATAATGCGTGGATACATCCGTGTCAGTGATATCGACTGAGTTATACCACCTAGAGTATCCCAACACTGGTTTTTTTGCAACGCAGAAAACAATAGCGAAGTTAACATCTTTCTACACAGACAACTGAGACTAATATTCAAAGACTTCATGCAATGTTACCATATTTTAGTATGGTCACCCTCAACCCTTCTACACTCTATAAACTTACTTCAGCTATCAAACGGTCATTACGCATACGTAACATGTTTCAGTCATCTCAGTCCATGAAGGTTCACAACTTTATCAACTGACTTGACTCTCTTCCCTAAAACTCTGTACCTGGTTTCTACATTACTGTGGTAGTAACAACACAACACGCTTTCTGTCCCATGAAGGCCACAGGCCTCCTCATATCCTTTCTATATTGTGGCCATTTTTAACACCCATACAGAACAGAGCGGACTGCAGCGCAGTAAACTCGACCACCAATACATAATCGTATAACACGGTGGAACATAAAATGACGTAGATTAGTGAATGCCAGTCAAACCTTTTTCATATGTGCAGATATTTCTTGGGCTACTGATCCACCAAGGCTGATACAATTTCTGAAGTTAGTGAATTGGTAAACGAACTCTGCCACTTCACTCCCCACTGACAGATGGAGAGCGGCTGAAGACCAGTCCTAGAGCAACAATTTGCATTTGGGTGGTGAGAAACACATCCCGAACATTCTCAAATCGCCACTCAAGAAATCCGGAAGACCTTGCATCTTAACAGCGACTTCACCTAACAGGATTATGTTATTTGAGTACTCTAAATCTACCGGGGATTCTCTTATGTTAGGATCAATCCCCATGAAGTCAGATGGTGAGAAATTCCGTAGTAAACTTGAATAGAAACAGTAAGAGTGGGCGCCCTCAATGAATACCACTCGATGTACACAGCTCACCTGAAAACTAACTTACCACTGGCCTTTATATTTCCACACATGATCGAGTAAAACGCCTTCAACAGATTGATATACTTATTCGGTACGCCTTCAGATGAGAGACAATGCCATGAGATCTCTCTATTGACAGAGTCGAATGCGGCATTCAGGTCGAGAAATACAGTCAATGTTGGACGTGTGTAAGTGCACCCGAGTTCCAAAACCCGGTAGTGTGAATATTTGATCAAAATACACATGGAAAGGTCTGCCCGATTTTCTCTGGTTCACTTCACTCGGATGTCTAGTGATTATAGAATCTAGAATCTTAGACACTACATTCATCAGGCCGATCCCCCTGTGGTTATCACAAGAGAACTTTTCGGCATTACTGAACACTGGGATCATCAAGGACTAAGACCAGTCAGAGTGATCTTATTGGACTCACACACTTGATAACAATTCAGGTAACTTGACTGGAAATCCTCCACAACCATCCTTAAATATGTCAAGTACTAGTCGTCTGCACTGCTTTTCTTCCTCGTTTCAGGTTACCTGCAGCTTTCCCCAATTCTCTAAGTACGAATGTCCCATCTCGATGTTCGAATAAAGATCCGACTGAATAGTCGGCAAGGTAGTAGTGGCTGGAAGATAGTTAAACTGTTCTGCCCATCGTTCCAGTTCGCTCCACTGTGAACAAATCATCTATCCTTCCATCACCTCCAAAATCTCACTAACTAACTACAAACGTTCTACATTCTGTTTCCTTCACAAGTTCAAATAACCGCCTACTGAAACAAATATCTGCTACCTATTCCAACTCCTAGAAATTCAATGCCCAAATATCATGAAGTATTGCAACTTACACAGTTATGCAGACGTGATAAGTTCCGTGTTGATACTGTTTGATTGACAAGGTGACGGACAATTTCAGCGTACAGCCCTGTTAACTGAATTCATGAAAGTCTTAATATCACTAAATACCAATGGTTGTCTGTCTGCAATACGTGTGATGATGCTCAAGCATCTTACAACCAGTTAACTCGTGACCAACATATTCATGACTTGAAAACCAGTCTGCTCGACGTTGATAAGTTTCTCGTGTTTTTTGCAGCCTGCAGAGTATTGTAGCAACCAGCATTTTACATGTGACTGACATCTCAATAATTACCACTTACATTGTGTAAGCTTTTCTAAAGACGAGTCCAATAATGGCCTCACTACAGAATAATGAAACACTCGTTCTCTCATACCTTGTTAAACAGTGTAGTCAGTTCCACTCTTAAGAAGCCGCGAATAAGGTGTTTGGGTCGGATGCTGTATAGTACTTTATTACTTGGAGTTCCCAATAGACCTTCGGGTCAGTGTTAACTTACTGTGAAACACAAGAAGATATTTTTACAGCGACAAATCAGTGAAACTGCTTTTCAAAGTGCGACGCCTAGCATTCCTGGAGGTGTTTAGCATACCACCTTTGTCAAAATGTTATCCCGTAATCAGGCCTCTTATTGCCAGTTACTCGGTTGAGTTGCAGCAACTTCTGACTACACCCGATATCAGAGTATTTGTGTTATATGTCGCTCGAAAACAACATTCTAGAATCAGCAGTCTATTGAACCGAAACCCTGCAGACAAACCAGAACTTCAATCATTGATTAATAACTTCATGTAGAGCAAACAATACAATTCTTGTCTATGAAAATAACAACCATATGGAAAATACAGAATGGTTGGGTAGGAAAGTCTCTTGACAGTGAAATTTCTTCCTCGCAAGAAGATTCTCTGAGCGATTGTTTAGTCTCCGTTGTTTGTTTTAATTCACAAATAGTATATAAGCTTTGGCGCTATCCGAATGCACTGATCCAAGCATATAGTAGACCTAAGAGACCACCCATAACCCACCACCCATAACTTTACCAAGTTCTGCAAAGGTCAGAGGACCCGTCCGACATGCCATGTTAGAGGAAGTTGGATTAGGTGGGAAGAGTTCGTGGTGACCACACCAAAACACGACGCCCGTCTATGAAGCCCCTGACTGCCTGAATTTTGATGTAAGCCGTGTATGCAGGTGCAAAACGCTTAACAGGGGTCTACGAGGCGATAGGAAACAGTGGTTGAAGAACCTTAGTGACGCGACGGAAAATTGGTCATAATGGCGCTGATGTATTCACTCCTTGACGTCTTTTGGAGCTCGAACAGTTGCACTAGCCTTTATCTTCAAATTGTTTATTTCTATCCAGCTGTTCCTTGTATAGTACTGTGGATTGTGACAACTTGAACCGATGCACTCGTGTACGAGGTTCTCAGTTGATCTTGTCTCTGTCTCTCTCTTTCTGGGAAGGCCTGTCTCAACTTTCCATCCAGGTTCTGATTGGGCAGAGGCAAACAAAAAACTAACTGGAGGTCAGTTGAACTTTTCCATTGTTCCATTCGTCTTACCTTCGAGTCGTTTGCAGACCCTTCCCTCTTCACGATAGTCGCACTGATCATCGACCTTTTATCGATGCTTCTTTGGTCAGTGTAAATAACTGTCTACTGTTGCCTACCACCGATATCTTTCCCATCTCTTAAACCTCCGCTACTCACCACTCCTCACACACACTGTGTAGACTTCTCGTCAGTTTCAACTTGAGCTACTTCTGTTAATCGTTGTGCTTGGAACCTGCAGAAATGTTCTCATGAGTGTACATTGATTCATATGAAGCAGCTGAGATCCACTGGCCCTTTCCAACCACTTTCTGACAGTCAATTACGATCCACAAAACGCTCTTTGTACAACCAACTGGAGAGAGCAAAATGCTTCTATTCGATGAGATGTTGTTCTCACATCTCTCTGGTCAGATTTCCATTGAAAGCAGACTTCAGTGACAGCTGATAGCAAAATGGTCCACATGTGCCCACCATTAAGTTGAGGACAGTGAATGCCATGTCAGACAACTATCAACTAAGATCCCTTCGAGAAGTCCACATTCTGCCTTAATACTTAATGCAATACCTATAACTGCAAGACTATGAGAACTACTAGCCATTGAACCACCAGAAACTCAAAGGCAGACATTCCCTATACAAGCCGGGCGAGGTCAAGTGAATAATCACACTTGGGTTTTGTATGCGTGTCTCATAAGCATAGCACACGTTGATGGCGTTAGATGCTAGCGTTTTTGCTACCGAACCTGGTTGGCTGGTCTGGCGAAGGGTGTGGACATAGAAAGCGCCAAAGTACAGTTCGGAGAGCAGTTTCAGCACACCACGGACACTGTTCCGCGAACTCAAACCGTTCTCGAGAGCTCCAGAGTTGGAAGAAATTAATATTGGAATATTACCCATCAAACATGAAGGTTGGAAGTAAAGAATGCGGAAGGTGGAAATTGAGTGCCGACAGAATTGTGAGATAGAGAGCCTTAATCAGTGTAAAACCTCATACAAGAGTGCATCGCTTCAAGCTGCCACATTCCACATTAGTATACAAAGAACAAGTGGATAGAAAGACTGATATCATAGTACACAAAGCTGTATGGAGGCAGGATTAATTTGGAAATGAAGGGCAGAAAAAACATTCAGGCTTTGGAAGACGTCCAAGAGTGCACATATTTGCACTATTGTGACCGATTTCCAGACATGCAACCAAGAGTTCTACACCACTGATTCATACGGCCTTGCACACCACAACCAAGTAGTCTACACCTCCCTCATACGGCTCACACCGACATTTAGAGACTTCATGAATTGGCGCTATGTCTTGGTCTGGTTACTCTGAACCCTCTGCCAACTTAATCCAACCTCCTCTAACACTGTACGTCATGATAGGTGGTGGTTTAACACCAGCAACAATGTCCAAACTACCTCAGTCGCTGAAGGTTCACAACCTTACCAATCGACTTGCCTGTCCTGCGTAGTAACCTTAACCTGACTTCTACACTGCTCACATGGTAATACCATCATACGTGGGCAATACTACGAAGACACATATGTCCAAGGAACCTATAGTTTAAGTGAAAAACTTGGGCACTGTGGTAGAATGTAGTTCCATATTAGATTTGTTTATTTGATATAAAGCGCACAGTGATACAGTATTATTTAATTGATTACGTTTCGAGCATAAATTATTGCTCATAATCATATCAATGTAATCACACTTCTTTCGACATCTGATTTTATAGTCTCCTGTCACCTGATCTCTCTTTGTTTTTTTGTTTTTTGATTGGTAGTAAAGTTTTCCATATCTCTGGTATAGGTGTTGCGTCATTCCTATTACATGTGTTGGGTGTGGATTCGATGAACAAAGATTCAGTAATTAATCTCTCTCTCTCTCCACCTAGCTATATTAGACTTAAGTACAGTGGCTTTGTCCCACCCTATTGTGTGGTTGTGTGTTAATGAATGTAATGCAATGGCCGAGTGTTTTTCTAGGTTATTGATCTTATTGGGGTCTGCCGTTCTATGTTTAGCTAAATTCCTATGTTCTGTTAATCTAACTGACCCCGACCGGCTAGTTTGACCTATGTATTTGACTTCACAGTCATTACATGGAATTTGGTAGATTATATTATTTTGCTTAATTGGTTCTACCGGATCTTTTAGCCGACAAAGCTTACCTCTAAGTGAGTTTGTTGGTTTAAATGCCACCCTAATTCCAACCTTGTTGAGAATCCTACGTATGGTTTCTGAAATTCACACGGACACATAAGAAGCAAAATAATAACACTAATACAAATACAAATAATAGTGACAACATAAGTAGAAAGGAAATCAACACCTCTATTGTGATACCATACAAGGAAGGAACATCAGAAACCATACGTAGAATTCTCAACAAGGTTGGAATTAGGGTGGCATTTAAACCAACAAACTCACTTAGAGGTAAGCTTTGTCGGCTAAAAGATCCGGTAGAACCAATTAAGCAAAATAATATAATCTACCAAATTCCATGTAATGACTGTGAAGTCAAATACATAGGTCAAACTAGCCGGTCGGGGTCAGTTAGATTAACAGAACATAGGAATTTAGCTAAACATAGAACGGCAGACCCCAATAAGATCAATAACCTAGAAAAACACTCGGCCATTGCATTACATTCATTAACACACAACCACACAATAGGGTGGGACAAAGCCACTGTACTTAAGTCTAATATAGCTAGGTGGAGAGAGAGAGAGATTAATTACTGAATCTTTGTTCATCGAATCCACACCCAACACATGTAATAGGAATGACGCAACACCTATACCAGAGATATGGAAAACTTTACTACCAATCAAAAAACAAAAAAACAAAGAGAGATCAGGTGACAGGAGACTATAAAATCAGATGTCGAAAGAAGTGTGATTACATTGATATGATTATGAGCAATAATTTATGCTCGAAACGTAATCAATTAAATAATACTGTATCACTGTGCGCTTCATATCAAATAACAAATCTAATATGGAACCTATAGTTTATTCATATAATCCAATTTCAACGGCCGTATCATAGTATCACATACCATGGATTGAAGGGCAGTATAACCGCCTCTTAATAGAATGTCGGATATCTCACCAGATGGTGTCACAAGTGACGCAAGTTAGCAAATGACAAACGGCCCTTCTGCATCGCAGCTGAGATTCCGTTAGCAACCAGCCCGTTCGGGCTGATGCATTGCACCACTCACCTCACTTCTTATCATCAAACTAGAAGTTCGGACCAGTCCCATGGTATCATCCTGCAATTGACAAGTGAGATGACGCATGCCAAATATATTCAGATTTCTGTCCAACCTGACATTAGAGTTAGTATGTTGAAAGCACCAACATGAAATCAATGCTAGGATCCTAGGAGACTAGGAATGATGTTCCGATGGCTTCGATCGTTGACAATGTTTGCGAAAGGAGAGGTTGGGGAAGGTGTGAGATGCCTAGTATTAGTATCAAGAGGTGATGGCAAAGAAGGAGACAGAGTTGAGTAGGATAGGTTATGTTTGATTGGGTCTTGGATACTACTGCGAGTGTGTGTGTGTGTGTGTGTGTGTGTGTGTGTGACACTTCTCAGATGTTCACACCGTGGAAGGCTTTTTTTCTTAAGTTAAAAGGAAAAACATTTGTGACCGCAGAATCAATGGGACATCTGCTTGCAGTCTTGTCCCACACAGTCTTTCCAGGATTGTTCTGAGGCCTTATTGGAAAGACCCATACCGTGGGCAACGGTAAATCGTGGGTCAGGGAGGAGTGTGTTACTTTTAGCGCCGACTTCTTTTAACCAAAGCTTCGCATGGGGAAAGTGGCGTTACACGCCCGTCTAGTCAGCAGTACGACTCCGTCGTCGGACCCCTGTTACAGCGTATCAATTCAAACTACAACTGCTTATCGTCTTACTACTAACCATCTAACTGACCTTTCTGGTATGGTAGGACATCCAGGGAACAGGCGTCCCACCAGCATAGCTTATGGGATCATTTTATTATGCAAGCTAGTTTATCACGTCAAGGCAGCGGTTACCGGTCAAGAGAAGCAGCTGAAACATAAGTCGATGCCTTCAAGTGATTATGAGCCAGAAGTTGCGCTCAAGACGTTATCCACTATGAGCCGTATTAAACAAACTACTGTACTAGGAAATTACGCTTATCCATAGGTGTCAAGTCCTACACTTACTACACTAATTATTGCACCAATAACGAGTCTAGTGCCCGGTAATGTGCTTCGGATCATTGTAGGATCCATTAATAGAACACGTATAAAGTACAATAGGACTACAATACGGATGACGAACAAATAACTCCTTAACAACTAAAGTGATTTGAATATATATTACGTATATCCAGTACGTCTTTGAAAATATTGCATGTTAGATAAAGTGAGATCAGGCTGAGAATCGATTACGGTTGTCAAACAATAACCAAGCACTAGTACATGAAATACTTAACCACCAACTGATTCGCGTTTGAGGTATAGCGAATAACCGTAAAAGATTGCTTAAAAGTACGTGGCGGCGTTTCACAGTTGCTCTGTACGACATCTTTACTTCCACATTGTGACCTGCTGTTTGACAGACAATTAACATTTGTTTTCTCAATCGTACGTTCTGTACATAAGTGACTGCAGATCTTATTACCCATTTTTATCGCTCTCCGGATGATTATTGAAAATGTCCATGTAGTCAGTTGACCAACAATATGAGCTTTAATATTCAATCAGTTGGATGTTGGGTGATCATAACGATCATAGTGAGGAAATATTATCGAATTACCTAGTTCTGTCATACAGTTCAATGTATATACACTATCTCAGTACTTTTGGCATCATATTTCATGGATGCAACAGTTAATAAAGGCCATTTCCTATGCACTCTACATAAATGATACTATTCATGAAAACAATTACAGATTAATTTCCATATAGGGAAATCGAAAACACTGGTGTGGTACACTGAATCATCTATTCATGAATTCAGTACGTAACCATTCACTAGTAGGGAACTTGGTATAGCAAAACTTTGAACACGCAGCCACAAAATTATATAAAACAGAAGTAGACTTACTGATGCCATTAAATTCGGGCTTCAATCCATTTCGAAATGCTTCAACTTTTAACTGAGATACAGTAAGTTTGGCGCTAAGTGGACTTGGATCAGAAGAACTTAGTACTATGGTTTGCTTAGCTTTACAAGAATAGAATGAACCAACTGGACAAGAGAAACTTGACTGATTATCAGAAGCGTAACTCAAAACTAAATATACCAATAAATAAAAATGAAATATAACATGAACAATTATCATATGTATAAAAGGTTATGAAATCAGCAGATCAGAAAAGAATACAGAAAATTTGTCTGTATAACCAAAAACGTATTGACGGACTGGAAGTTTCAGGCAAATAACGAGGGCTAATATACTTACTCACTGTGCAACCAGATGGTTTTCAAAGATTACAAATGCTAATTGTAGATATAAATGCTAGGTTGAGAGACTGAATAC